TTTCAGTACCTAAAGGGGACTTATAAAAATGATGGGGACAAACTTTTTAGTAGGGCCTGTTGCGATAGCACAAGGGGTAATGGCTGTGAACTAAACCAGGGTAGATTTAGACTAGATAAAAGGAAGAAATTTTTCACCATGACAGGGGTGAAACACTGGAGCAGGTTGCCCAGAGAGGTGGTAGATGCCCCATCCCAAGAAACATCCAAGGTCGGGTTGGACAGGGCTCTTGAGCAACCTGATCTAGTTGAAGATGGCCCTGGTCACTGGGGGATTGGACTAGATGACCTTTAAAGGTCACTTCCAACCCAAACAATGCTATGTTTCTATATTAAAGTGCCTTCAGAGTGATTTAGCCATGCTTTTGAACTGACTGGTCCTTGGCCAAATGATTGCCAGCACATGTGGATTTACCATATCTTTAAGATGAGGTGTTGACGTGCTTCTGTGGTGTGGGACTGATACACAGTTAGGTGTATGGTGGGTTTTACTTTGTGGTGGCGGGGTTGGCTGAAGCACCTTCCTACTCATTCCTGTGCTCAGGCTTAGAAAAGGGAGATGGGGGGTAGTTCCTTGGCTGTCTTGCTGTGGACACCTCCAGTGTCCTCCTGGTGCAAGGAAGCAGGGGGGAAAGAGGGGCAGGGGGGGGGGGAAGCCAGCATTGCTGAGAAAAATATGCATGTAACTACTGTTTTAATGATGACAGTAATGGTAGTATCTGCACTGTCAGCTCTGGAAAGGAAATAAAGTAACTACAGTGGAAATCTGTAGGAGTCTGTATTCAGAAGCACTAGTAGGTGTCGCAAGGTGCTTAAAGTAATTGCTCGGGTAGTTCTTCCAAGTAAGATGCAGCTTCCTCTTAAATCTAGGCTCCGATCTTTCAAATACTGATGCACAGGCTACCTAAGCAATTGCACGGGCTCTGACTTCACTGTGACTGCTCCCATGCTTAGGTACGAGTGAAAGCTGCGGGGAACAATGGGACTGGAGAGATGTTACAAAGCAAGTGTCGGTTACTTCATGCTGCAAAGGAAGCAGTGTTCTGTTAAACAATGGGCTAGAAAGCGCTTTCGTAATTGCTAGAAAACCATCTAGTTCTGTTTCTTAATGTATTTCTGGTATAAACAGTACGTATTCAGCATTTAATTATGATGCAATGTGCTACTCTCTTAGCTCCTGGACTTTGTTTCTTCCAGGTACTTCCAAACTGTAAGCAAAAGAGGATGCTAGCTGAAAAGGAGCAGGAACTGTGGAGTGTATTAATTGCAATATATTATCTCACTAGCTGATAGCCCTTGCTTCACCATGATATTATCAGCAATTTTATGTTAGTTTCTGGATACAACACAGACTACTTTAAAATCTAGACCCATGGGGCATCTTCTGTAAGGAGTCTGCTGCATGATTCTTCTTGAAAACACAGGAGTTTAGGGTGAAATATAAAGGTCTGATCTCCTTAGACCTTTAACATTCCTTTCACTTGGAGATTTGTCTCAGACCATTGTAAACAGTGACTTAGGTTGGGGACTGTCAGTAACAAAACTACTGTTTTCATCCAAATATATTAGGGATCCTGTTTGACACCCATTATATTCCCTAGGAATAGTTCCAGTGTGGGCAGTATTATTTGGATCAGATCCCCAGGTGATACTGTTAATGAGGTACTGGAGTGGTAATTTCAGATGCAGTGGATCTTGGGCTTTAGGGTAGTTTTGCTCCAAAACTATCACTTTAAGTGCATCTTTATCTCTTCAGATGAAAATACACAATCCACAGAATATTTTTTGTATTTAAATGTAGAAGACAGTTTAGCAATTGAGCATGTGAAGGAAACCTTAGGATGCTTAGCAGAATTAACTGTTTCTTGTCTGTCAGCCTCCAAGTAGAATATGTAATAACAATAAGCAAACCTATCGTGTACTTGTTTCAGGCTATTTTGGCCCAAATCAAGGTGCTATGATTACTTATATCAGGAAGCCGAAGCACTTCTGAAAAACTTTCCAGTTCAAGCTACAATTTCATTTTATGAAGATTCAGATAGCGAAGATGATGAAGATGAACTGGAACAAGATTCAAGAACAGAATCAGATTGCTGATTGCAGGAAAGGCCAACGCAACTTCTAAGACTTAATTTAAACTTAATATAAAAATGTATTATAGTATTTTTAAAGATAATTTATTTGTATGTAAGTTATTCTTAATAAAACTGAAATGTTTTGTAATTTTATCTGAGCTTTTTTCCTTTGTTCTATTCTTGTCCTGTTTTAGGCAGGGAAAGTATTGATCAGTATTTTTTATCTGAGGTCCTGTATTTTGTAGACCACAACTTGGACATCAATTTTAGGAAGAGAGAACGGATGCCTTTCTTTAAAGGGCTCTATGGTTATGTGACTTCCTCAAAGTTGGAGGACACAAGGAAAGCTTTTTTCACTGATTTAGTAGGCTCCATGTGGAAGCATATCACAGAATCATTGGATGATGTATTCCAGTGTTGTGCCTGCTGTTACAACAGAGTTTCAAACATGGAAAAGAGAAATGATAATAGCTGTTTTCCAGATGTAGAGAAGGGTCCAAATTCTGCTTGAGTTTTTTCTTTTAAAAAGGGGGTTTGCCTTAAGTCACTCATGCTCTCTTTGTCCTGGTTTGAGTGACACAGGACTAATTTCTTTTCTAATACTTGGGAAAACTGCACTTTTAGAAGACTCTAGTGTCTGAATTGGTGAAAATACTTTATAGCCAGCTATGGTGTGTGGGTTTCAAGGTCTCAGTGGTTTTGAGCTCAGGAGGTGCAGGGATGAGCAGAAGCGACACCCGGGCACTTGACCCAAGCGGGCCAACAGGGTTATTTCATACCATGAACATCACATTCAATATAAATTAGAAAGTTTGCTGAGGAGTTCTCTCTCTCCTTTGATGGCTGCGATCCTGAGAACTTCTTGCCCTGGTAGAGGACCCCTGAGCCCTTCCCTTCCTCCTGAAGCTGTAGCACTCACTGTGTCCCACATTTGCTGTCAATGCTGGGAGTGCACAGCTTCCTACTGACAGAATTGGCTGAGTATAATATTTGTGTATTTTATACTGGTACCAGGATCAATATTGGTTCTTTAGTGCTATTTACATTAATTATCTAATCTTATTCTATAAGATCTGTTTATATTTCAACCTCCAGGTTTCCTTGTTTTTTCCCTGATTCCCCTTCCCAGGTGGGGAGGGGTCATCAGGTGATAGAATGACTGTCTAAATGTCAGTAAATTGTCATGGGTTCCTCAAACAGTAACACTCACGTACATAAATACAGTATGAAACAATCAATTTTGTTTGCAAAGTGGACATCAAGAAATGAGAAAAAAAGATCCAATGTGAGTTGTTTTGATTGTGAGGTGTTTTTTGGTTGGTTTTTTTTTTTTTTTTTGACAATCGAAGCAAAGTTTGGTACCAATCATCGTGCAGGCCCAAGCCCCTCAAGAAACAACAACAACAAATAAAAAATCCCAAACTTTAATTCCAACGCCAGTACCTCTGTCAGGTACACCTTGTGTACATACCTAAAGCGGGCCCGACGCGGTAGCAGGGATGTCGAGTCCCAGGCGGTCTTCACCGAGTCCCGCCCCCCAGTTTGTGACATAAAACCTCCGGGAACTGGCTGGAGCCGTTAGCCGTTTGCTGCTGGTGCCTGGCCAAGCCGGCGTGTCATTCGAGGGGAAGGTGCCTGCGCTGCTTCGCTCGCCTGGCGGCGCTCTCCCAGACTCCCGCCTGCGGGAACATAAGCCTTTCTGCGTAGCGCCTGTGACGCTTACCTTGCTGGGCACCTGCTTAGCTGCGTCCTCTCCCTCTTGCTGTAGTATTTTCAAGTGTATGTGGAGACTAAAATAATCCCTCGTGCAGTTTAATTCATCCGGGCTGACTTCGCTCATACAAGTGCTTCTTCTGTATGCTGTTCATTTTTCTGGCTACTGTAAATCCTTCACATTTTGTCTTGTTCCATATGACTGTGGGTTTCTATTTTATTTTTTTTAACTCCCGAACTATGGAAGGATACGGTGTGTAGCTGTGTTTTCTTGCTTGTTTCGGGCGAGGGGGCTGGCTCAGCTGTGTCGCTGAAAGATGCTTGGTAATTCTCGTTTTAGAAGGTGGTGGGGATAGAGCTTGCTGCTCTGCCTCCCCGGGCTGTGTCGGGGTTCCTCCTGTGCACTTTCTGCTTGAAATTACTGCGCACCTGTTGGGCTTCATCTTCGGAGGGGTTTTGGGGGCACTTGGTGTCAGCAGACCTTGCTTGGGACGGAAACTCATACTGAAGTAGCATCAAGGGATGTGGGCTCTTTAGTTTTCTCGCCTCTGGTTTTGCTGCAGTTTTGTAAGACCACAAATCTTCAACCCTGGTCCCTGCTGTTGGAGTTTGGATCAGAGGAGTTCCCAGTCTGTGGTGCTGTTGAAAAGGAAGGTGCTAGACACCCTGAAGATCTTGCTCTGCCTTTCAGGGCAGGCCATGGCTAATGCATCCCTGGTAAGCTGGAAGACTTCGATCCCAGCTTTCTCGGGGTGAGATTTCCAGTTGCTGTAGCCTTGCAGAAAGTCTTTATGAATGCTGTGAAGGTGAATTTTCCTACTTTGTTGTACCTGGCCGTGATTTTCAGATCTCTTTTTTTCTTGTTGCTTATAGGTTTCCAGGCCATACCTCAAATGATGCTGATAAAAACTTTTTACCACCACAGCTGGACTTGGTATCTGCAGTTTGCTTTGGGAAGAGTTATCTAAATGTTTGTTGATGTTCAATAATTCCCTTGTCTGGGTTACTAGATAGAATGCTTCCTTAAGCACCCTTACTGCTGAGTAGGGCTCCCAAATACCAGTGAAGAATATGGGTTGTGTTATTCCTCGTTTTGTCTGAGTCCTCCTAGGGAGCTTAGAAAAGTATATTGAATGTCTCTTTATTCCTTTAGAGTTTGATACATTTGTTATTACATTTGTATGTTTGTACATTTGTTATTTTTCAGGTACCCTTAAAACCAGGAAGGAGTCTTATGGATTGGATTCGACTAACTAAAAGTGGGAAGGACTTGACTGGTTTAAAAGGGAGGCTAATTGAAGTGACCGAAGATGAGCTTGCTAAACACAACAAAAAGGAGGACTGCTGGATATGTATAAGAGGTTGGTTGCTGTGATGTTGCTTCTACATTTTTTGCCTAGCTTCTCTCTTCTGTACTTAAAGCAGAAGCAACAAAACCCAAACAACAACAAAAGCCACACCCCAAAACAAACTATGTACCTTCTATGTTTTGGCCAGGTGTAATCTTGACATAATTGGATACAACTTTGTTTAAGTTAGAGATTTTGTGTCACAGGGATTTTTTTTTTTGCTTTCAAGCTTTTCTTAAGAAGTCTTCCAAGTGGGCATATTTTATGCCTATTGTATGTCTGCATACGAAAATAATAAAACACAAGGTTGTAGGTAATGCCTCAAGTCACAAGGGCTTAACAAGAATAAGGCATTGAAAATGCTGACATGTACTTACGCTCCTCAGTCTTGGAGATTTTATTATCCTTAGCAGTTGCCTATTTTTAGTGATTGCTTTAAAGATCTAGAGACTTTGAAGAGACTTTGACATCCAAGAAAAGTGTGACTTAAACCTGTAGAGTGGCCTTTGGGAAATAAGTGTGCAAGCCCACATACTACTTCGTAAAACTTAGCAGGGTAAATGACATTTGCTACACAGAGTGATCATAATCTCTATCTAGCATAACAAATGCCTGTGGTAACTAAGATATTCTATTTATGTTACTATTTTTATGAAAATATAGCTCAGAAGTTGAAAGTATCATATAAGTTAACAATGTGTGAAAGGTGGTTTGGAGCAATAGCCATGGCTAAAATAGTATTTTCAGTGCTGAAAATGAAGTTTCTAGTTGTCTTACAGAAAGGAGTAAAATGTTTGCTCTCCAGTTTAGTCATTTAGAGGCTAAAATACATTAATATTGCCTTAAATTTGTTATGAGATAGCAGGACTTCTATGAAGATAGATGAAGAAGATCAGAGTAGCTAATGTGACGTTTCTCTAGGAAGAGTGGTTCATTTAGTGGTAACTTTGATCTAGTAAGGAACAGTGTTGATATTTGACATAATCTCTGAACTCCAGCAAAAGTTAAGAATTTCTCTGTGAAGGCGATTGTGTTTTTGTTGGGTGTTAAAGGGGATGAGAGTGAAAGCAAGGGTAAAATGTTGTTCAATACTGGCTTTTCAACAAAATAATAGGATTGTTAATGCTCTGTGTGCTGCTTTTGCACATGCTAGCAAAACTATAGTGGGAGGACAGCTAAAGAAAGCTTATTTACTGTGGAGGTCTGTGTTTTGGTTTTTTTTATCTCTGAAAAAGGGACATTTACTACTGCAGGCAGAATCACAGCTTAAAAACGCTTCTGTTTTTAGTCTCTTATTCTCCCTTGACTGCATCTCTGAGATTATTTTTTACAAGAACTCCATCATGCTGCTTCTGTATTTCTCTTTAAATTTTTCCATCTCTCCCTTTCCTTTGTTCTGGGACTACTAATGAAAAAAACAGCATAACTGAGAATCCTGGTAGATTATCTGTAGACCTGATATGTGGACAGGTGGTAAAATAAAACAGTCATGGAAAAGCTAAATGAGGGCTCTGCATTGGTAGTTAGACTGTCTTTATAAGAAAGAGCAGAAATTGATGAGAGGAATGTGAAGTAAAAGAAGAGCAAGAGCTTACTTTGTTCAAAAACCCGGTATGATGATCATCAAAGAAAGCTGTCATATAGGCCACAAATTCATATATAAAGTGGGATGTCAGGAGAGTTAAAAAAAGCATGAAGGGTAGGTATATAAATGATATTTCTTTTTCTCCTGCAAGTTTGCTGGTAAATCAAGCATTTGACTAATGTTCAGGAGGTCCTAACTGTGTAGATACTTATATTTTATTGCATGCAGTAATCAGTGTTGCACGCAAGATGGCATAGTGGATACATATATCATGTCAGTAAAATATGCAAAGATCCTTCCTTTGTTGTCTGGGATGATTGTTTTTACCGACTAGGATTGTCCCAAGTATGTCTCCCCCAAGCCAAGTGCTGAATGCCTGCCTCTCCTTCTGAAGCAATTAATGTACACTTCTTAATGTGTTAAAAGCTTCTTATGAAAGCACTGGCACAGTTCCGCTTCTGGTAGCTTCCTGTTTTTGATAATGTTACACATCTTTAAATATTCTGTGAAATAGGCCTGCAATAGTTCTGTTAGCAGCAATATATCTGTAGTTAAAACTGTTTATAGCCGCATTGTCCATGCTCTAATTAGTCTGGTTGCATAGCAACAATAGGTAGACTTCATCATTTCAGATCTATGAAGAAGCATTGTTTTATCTCCCTGGAAATACTAAGAATATCGCTCATGTAGAAGGAATGCTGAGACCTTTTACTGGGGCAAATTTGGTACCAGAGTTGTAAGCCTCTAATGAACATAGGCTATGTTTAGATTTTTGTGTTGCTGAATCTGCGAATGGAAGTTTTATTGCTGATGGTAGCAGTTTTTCCGTATGGGAGGCAGTTCATTCCTGTAGGCATTTTATTCCATAGGTGATTCTATGATGGGTGGTAGGGAAACAACTGTGACAGCACTTTAGGAGTAACTTAAGTGGAAGGGAGAGTGAAAACAATTCTCTCTGCTAACTGGCACAATTTTATGTCTCCGTTTAAACCAGCCTCTGGTTCTTTTACCCCCTAGCTAGGATGCGTGATGTTCAACTTCAGGGGTTTATTTTACTAAAGTCTTAACCCAGCAGGTGTCTCCAGATGTTCACTGGGACACGTGGTATGGCATTGTGGGATTTGCCTCTCTGTGTAATAAAATGTCTTGTGCTCTATACGATTGTGTAACTTATGTTTCTGGTTTTGGAAAGTCACACTGTTTGTTCCGATCATGTCTACTGTTTGCCACTACAGTGTTTAATATGCATTAACCTTTCCACTGGTTTTGGAGATAGGAGTGATTGTAGTGGTTGTAGAAATGCTGTTCATGTTTTCATATTCCGTTTCCTGCAGGTTTTGTATATAATGTCACACCATACATGGAATATCATCCTGGTGGTGAGGATGAACTGATGAAAGCAGCAGGAACTGATGGTACAGATCTCTTTGATCAGGTGAGAACCACTGGCATCAAATGACACTTGCTTACCAAAAGGTATTTTGAAAAACACATGTTTTCTGATTGTTTTTAGGGCATTCCAGTGGAAATGGTGATTTGAACTTTTTCAGGTTTAGAGAAGGGCAGTGGGTTACTGCTCAGAATGGCACTTCTGTGCTGAAAGAGGCATGTAGTTTAAACTTTGTACCAAAAGACAATAACAAAAATGTCACTTTATGTTGTTGGAATGATGCTTCAATTTGACCATTTTATTAAATTAATTTTTTTAGCAGAAATGGCAGTAAAGCTAGCAACAACTTGGGATACCACCTTTTTAATAAATTACTACAATGACTAATTGCTCTTGCTTGAGAGGCATTTTCTTCTCAGAACTTTCACTTTTTGAAAAATGCTTGTAGTATTCTTTTGTCTGTTAACTTGACTGCTGCATTGCCAGCAAACAATGTACTAAGAAAAAATGCTGGGACTGCTATTAACTGTGAACAAATCACAAGATAACAGTTGGTCTCTTCTTTGTTTACCATTTCTTTAAATGTTTTGAAAAGACTGAGAAAATAAATGGTCTGCAGTATGGGTGTACTTTCTGTAAGGAAATGCTTGCTGTACCAGCACTGCTGAGTTGGTGTTTTTTAGAAACAGACATTCTTTGAGTCTCCTCAGCTCACAAGGTCTGTCTGAGAAACTGGGAAAGAGCAGAAAGGAAACCTCCTCTCTTTCCGAAAGGAAATCTTTTACCTCTCTATAGGTTGTGCGTCACAGTATGTTATGCCTTTATTTGCAAAATGTTTTTAACAATGAATGTAAGTAAAGATGTGATGATGTTTTAGCTTTATTAAGTTTATCTTTGGTTAATCCTTTCACAAATGAAGTGTTGAGTTTGGGCATAATTCTCTAGTTTCAAGACATTTGGAATTTCTGTCCTAAAAGTTCATCCAGTATCAAGTTGTGCCCTGGAATTCTGTAGCTGGATCACTGTCAAGCATTGTATGATGTACTCAGAAACAGGAGTCTTAACATCAGGAATAATTGGGGAAGCCCCTCAGGTTGTCAGCAACTTCAGATACATACTTGCCACAACACTTGTTTTTTGAGTTTGTTTTGTCATGGGAGTGTTCAGATCCTTAAAATACACTGTTCACGTTCTTGTTTCTGGCTGATATCTTTTCTGTTCTGGAGGGATTTCTGTTGTTATCCCCTCTGCATTAGCATTCTGTGTCTGTCAGATATTGATCTCTTGAAGAGTTTGGTAGGTTGCTAGTGTTTCTCAAGTTTTTGGAAAAATTAACTGTCATTCACAATCCTTAATTTCTTTCTGTCATCTGTGTATGAGGAAACTACAACTTATGCATGGGATTTTTTATCTCATCTCCTTAGCTTGTCCCATTTAAATTTTTTATTTTTAAATCTCTACATTCCATTCAAATTTGTCATGCAGCACTTTGTTTCCTTTTCTCTTCTTGTGATGTTATCCTGGATGCCCTGCTAGTATTGGCTTTTCTGCCATCCGTTTCCTCTGCAAGTTCTCCAGTTCTGGTCTGTAAAGCTACTGCTTTTTCTTCACTTTATTTGACTTTCTAAAATAGGCAATGTCCAAATAATTCAGTGATAGTATGACAGAAACAAACAAATACACCAACTGGGTAGGAAGTATTTGCGTGTCTAAACCACAAATACCTTTGTCTTTGTGTCCTTCATCCCTTTTCCCTTCACTTGTATCTAAACAGGACTAATTACCCTTGTGATAAAGACAAGGTCTTTATTCTGTTAATTGCGTAGCATCCATCATAAAAATACTCTTCTGAAATATTTTCTGTAGCTCAAGGTTATGATGTTCAGATACTGCAAAGCATAAAAAGAATAAATTAAACTTTGTCACTTTTTCATGGTCCTATTTTTTCACTTAATTACATGCTGTCTGTAATAGAAGTAAAAATAAGTACTGAACAACGCAATAATGAGTGTCTGTTTTAAAAATAAATCCGCTAAATGAATTTCATTAGCCACTGTACAAAAATGAACTTTTCTATTTCAGTGTGTAGAACAACATAGTAAGAATAACAAATTTTGTGAAAACCAATTTTGTTAATATAGGTTCATCGTTGGGTCAATTATGAATCCATGCTGAAGGAATGTCTTGTTGGGAGAATGGCTGTCAAGCCTATTGCTGCTCCAAAAGGTGAGGCTTTTAAGAATGAAATGGTTTCTATTATGCGTTATTCCAAAATTATCTGGAAATGATGAGAAAGCCTAAATCATCATATTTCCAAGGAGAGTCTCTGTTCTTGCGTAGAGATGAAGGCTCTTGCATATAGTAAATCTTTTTACAACAGATAACCTGAAGATGAAACTATTTTATACATTAAGACTTCTATAAGTAATGTACTTCTACATTTCTTCTTTTTTTCAGTCATCAAAAAACAGATATGTGTGTTTCATGTGCATATGTATTTAGAAATAATTTTTTTTTCCCCCAAGATCCCTCTTTCCTCTTCTGATCCCAGGGGACAAACTGTCACAGGTAGTGCTCTCATCTTAAAATAAAAGGCAGTCTTTTCAATCTGGTGATTTCAGCACCATAGCGAGATCTGGCGAGTTGCATATGTATTGAGGTATTTGAATACACTTTATGGACAGTTACCCTTTCCAGAACACTTTATTTGGTCCTTTAGTTTGAATTACTTGCAGAAAATTTTGCTGATACAACAGACTCCTCAGAGCCAGGACAGCAAGAGATGTACTATGTAGTCTTAAAATCCTGGTGGTGGTTTCCAGAGACTTTAATCTTCAGTATTTGTTCTGATTTGTAGGCCACAGCAAAAATTTCTTATACCTAGGAAGCAGACACTATTACTGAATATTGCCCCTTAGCAAAACTATAGTGAAAGCACGAAAGAATTAACGTTTGCAACTATTTTTCTCAAATTCTGTGGCATCCTTTGGTTAACAAATTCGGCCATCTCATGTAGCTCTTCAACTTCTGACAAGGTGCGCTGCATAGTTGTCTAGTGGTTAGGTTGCATCACCTAGCAGTTACGTTGAGTTTGGTCTGTACATGAAGGGGAATAATATTTTACATTTCCATGTTGCTAGGTAGCTGATTCCAGTGTGGAGCTTCTAATGAAAATGCTGCAAAGTATGGAGAAACCTTGACAGCATAACTGCTTTATGAACTTGAGGTGTTACAGAGAAGTTACTGCTACTTTGTCAGCTGAGTTAAAAATTTAGAAGTAAACCTGACTTATGACGATTTCATTAATCTAACTTTTCTGCAACTGAAAGGAATTCTTCTAGCAGCCAGTCAGTAAAAACCAAACATGTCTTTGCCCTTGCCAGCTATGACAGTCCATTTTCTGCTCTTCACTTTTTCTGCTTTCCTCCGTAATGTGACTGTTCTATCCATTTTGCTGTAGTAACATTTGCAGGATAAAGGTTGCCAACTGTATAAAACCAGTTCTCTTGCCTGTGCCTCTTTTAGCCATTTCAGGCTTGAAAAAATGTAATTTCATCAATTAAAAAAATCAAACTGATTAGACTGAATTTGCTGAAAATCTTCACTATAAAATTCTCAACGTTTACTTTGATTCCTGGTAGGTTGTGTATCCTCCTCTTTTAAATCATGAAAACTGCAATTGACGAACTTCACTATCAGCCAGCAATAATTCTAGTCTTGCATCCTTCTAGAAGATCACGTTCAGCAAAGTTTGCATTTAAAAACGGAAGACTAAAATACTAAGTTAAGGTGCATATTTTTGAATGTAGGATTAAATGAGGACATAAGTATAGAGAAAAGACAGGACTTCAAATCGGAATACATTGCTTTCTTTTTGTGGCAGAGGATGAGTGGCAGTAGTATTGGTATGTGCTGTTTGGTACAGTCTCAATCCAGTGCAAATAAGACCACTGTAGGTTTGTTGGGGCGTTGCTGGAAGATTTGTGGTTGTTTAGCTTAGTTTTTGTTTCCTGTGTTCTGGTGGGTTTTTGGAAGATGGTACAATTATTGGCTCACAGAACTGTTTAAGGAAGCTGATGCTTGTCCTTGCATACTCCAGGTTTTTTTTTAAGAAAGAAGAGTCTTTTGAAGATGCTGATGATAGTTAATGTTTTGTCAATTTGTCTTTTGGGAATGCTGCTTGATGGTGTGGTGGTGACTAATGGGAAATTCCGAAGTGCCCCTTCTGTGGAGTTACAGTGAAGCTGTGCACTGAAATGTGTAGTGTTTGTACTTGCTGAGAAGGCCAATGCAGTAACTACAGCAGTACCCAGGCATGTAAGAGATGATTTCAGTATCTCCCTCAGCAAACCTGTACAGCATTAAACTGCTTGCCTTCCCTTCAGGGTACTCAGCTGTAGACATTAGCATGGACATCAGTTTGTTGTCTGGTATCTTTTAATACTTCTAATGTTTCTCATAGACATATGTTAGTATATGTCCCTATGTTACTTCGGTGGTAACGTAACTCGGGAGTTGGAATGCATGTTGTACTGTTAATTCGGGGAGATTGGGCTGAGAGCTATGGTGTCATCCAAGCAAGGGAGAATGGGCTGTGTCTTGGAAATGCCTCAAACTATTGTTAAAATTGCAATGGCAGTTTCAGTGCAGTGTGTTTAAATGTAATGAAATTAGAGTAGACTTTTGAAAACAAAAAATTACCTTTAATTAGAAAGGAGTTCTTGTGAATGACTTCCCTGTCCTGACAGAAAGCTCAAAGTGGTGTATAGCAGAATACACAGACAAATACAGCCTCAGTCAAAAATTTTGAGTGAAATGTGCCATGCATCTTGTGGGTTGGTTGTTTTTTGTGGGTTTTTTTTCACCCTATAGTGGCACAACGTGAAAGCCTCTGATGCAGGCAGTTCTTGGTGAGCTCTGAAGTAATTTTGCAATACTGTATGCTTGGTGCTTTGTTCCAGGAGCCTTTCCTTCACTCCTCTCACAGTGGCATTTTTCCTCTAACACTGGCTGCTGTCGTGTAGAGCTCTGGGAGGGATTCAGAAGAACGAGGAAGAAACATTCATGTTTTGGTTTTCATAAAAGAGCAGGAAGAACACGTTGGTTTCTTCCACTTCCCTAAACCTAGCTTCCATAAAAGAGAATATAGAATGGACCTTCATATTGGGACACTGAGATGTGCAATGTAGAGAAGGCAGAAAGGGGCTTGGGTACATCCAGAGGACTATGTCCCACAGACTTGCTATAAGCAGAAGGATACGTGGCTGAGAGGTGCAGTGCCTTTCCCCTGTAATCGCGCACCTTATATATGAATTGACGCTATGTAATTCACCTGCTTGGTCATTATCTTCTTTTCTTTCTGCTACTATTTGTTTGTTTATTTGGAGTAGTTGCAGCATACTGTAGTTTTAATGAAAAACTCAGATAATAACTTGTCATATAAAACCGTTTGACAGAAGGAGCTTATAGGAAGATTTTATTTTTCCTGGGTTTCTGCCAAGGATTGGGTTTAGATTGCCAAGGATTGGGTCAGTCATATTCAGTGTGTACTCTGGGTTGTCGTGAGGCAAGTGTCATTGAAAGTCTGACAGATTTAGCGAGCTTCTTAGCTATGAAGTTTATAATTGCACAAGATAACATATGATGTCTGTTTTGAAGTGCAAGAGTTCTTGTATTTCCTACCCTTTAGTGCTGTGCAACTTTTGGCATTTTTAACGTAGTATTTTTTTAATTTTACATAATCTTTTGGAACGGTAGTCAGTGCTGCATTTATTTGTGACTTCTTGATATCTGAAGTGTCATCTTTAATCTAGTAATGTTTTGGAAGGTTTATTTGGAGATCCTTACTTTGGCTTATTTCTTTAGCATGATGTGTACAAGTACTGTGCTGTAACTTCTTACTGTCGTGCTCGTTGTTTTTTTCTTAATGCTTGTAGAGATTTCTTCTACTCTGTCTGAAGAGAAGAAACAGCTTAATGGTAAGTATTCACCTGGAGTGAGGTGGGGAGTGAATCTCAAACTTATTTGAATATTATTGAATGAGCAGTGTTTATCCAGACTTCTCTCTGTCTTTATGTTTGAATCTGATGTTGATGCTGTAGTGATCTGTGGAAACTACAGAAGGCAAAATCCTAATAGAGTATAGTGAATTCAGTGTTTAAAAGTATTGTAAGACTGCAGTAGAGTAGTATAGATAAGGGAGGTATGAGATAGACAAGCTTTCTGCTCAAGTTGGACAAGATAGGTCACAAATTACTGTGTGCTATGAAATCTGCCACTATAGAATTGCAGGCTTTTTGATCCTTCTCTATATCAGAAAAGCTAGGTGGCCATCGGGCTGGAGTAGCAGAGACAAGACAAAATCTTGGGGAATGCTTGGAATTAATAAATCTCTACTAAAAGCTGGAAGGTTATCACTGAGAAACGAGATGAAATGGAGATGAAATAGAGCTGATCACAGCATGACTGAACTGCTTGAGATGTAACTGTGAGAAAGATGTATGTTAATTGTCAGCCTGGTCAAAGAGAAGCAGGTATAGTCTTGTGAATGTATCAGGAGGTTGATGGTAGTCCTTGTAGAGGTGGTGAAGCATTCAAGCCTTCACTGAGCCCTTCCTTGAGTATTGGAGGTAGCTTTCGTTGCCAGTGATCAAGAACATACATGTGATTTTGATTCTTTTAGGGGAGTGTTATGGACTGATTAGCCATATTAGTATAAGATGCTTCCTAAAAGAATGTGTCTTATTAAGTCCCATCAAATGAGGTGTGATGGGGGTGTGTTGGTGGGGCAAATAAGATCAACACCTGTGCAGGGAAATAATACAATTTTAACTCAAGGCTGACCTATTGGCGTGAAAGGGGACACGTGCAAATTGGTCGTGGAAAAGTCTAGGCTGAAACTTTGGAAAAGGAGTGTAGACCAGTCAAATTTTGGAGTGGCACGAAGAGCAGAAACCTGGATGTGTCTTAAGATGAAGCCAGAGGAGTTCTCAGGGTGGTGTCCCAGCAAGTCCAGGCACAGTGATGGGAAGATAGCTTGTTCATGCTTTCTCTGGTGAATTTGAACTCCCACTTGGTTTCTTTTTTCTCGTACTGTCTTCCTTGCCCTTCCCGTTTGTGTTCTGTGAATGTTGTATTTGACTGCTGAAAGGCAGTTTACCTTTTAGTATGCACAAGCATTGAACTACACAAAAAGTTAAACATATGTCAGATAAAAGTAAGCAAGACTGATTTTATTTGTTCCTGTTTTGCTCTATAGCCTTATGAGATGTTAAGCTAAACTCTGTCAGGGTCTGCTGCCTGACTTTCCTTTTTTTTCTTCAGCAACGAACAAGTTGCTGGAACTTGTTAATCTTGCTTTGAAGGACTTGGGGAATTAGAAAACAAAACTCTGCTTTACTCAATCAGAATGCTATCACTAGCAGCTAGTAGTCATTAAATACATGATAAATATTTTGTATTCAAAAGACTAATTTTACCATCTATGTCAATATTGTTCTCCTCTTGTCTATTTTGGTTCATAAATTCCTTAGTCTTTGTGCTTGTCTAGCTGTCCAGAGCTTTCCTATGCATCTTTCCTATACAGAGTGGATCCAGGTAAAGAGAAATCAGTGATAATCTCTCTTCTGTCTTGCTTCCCCTCCTGTTCCTAGCAGTAACTTTTTTTGTCCTGTTTATGTGACTTCTCAGGAGACATAGGAGATGATTCTAATGGTAGTTTCCAACGAAATTTCCAAAATAGTGTTGCTTGATTGTTACATTCAGTTTGCCTACTTGGCAAGACTTTTTCCAAAATAGGAGAGGTGATTTCCTGAGGTTAACTTCCGTGAGGTTTTTCATATTCAGTTGTTGTGTCTCAGTGCTTAGCTCTTCTAAATGTAAGTCAGAATGAGTCTAGAAATACGCATTGCTGTCTGAAAGTATGAAAGAGAAGCCTATGGCATGGACTGTGATTTTTCAGTAGTTGTTGGCACTAGTGGAGGCATTTTTGTCTTATCAATCTAAAATGTATAAATAATAATTGTATTTGGAGTGTGCTCAGATCAATCAACTTAAATGTATCCTTGATTTTTGTGAACATCAATTGTATGTAATGTTAGGGGCAATTAAATGTGAAGTCTTCAGAATATATTGCTAGTGATAACAGTCAGCGTGGGTGTAGCCTAATGTGCTCTTCAGTGTCTGTTCATACTTGAGTTTCAAACAAAAGACATCAAAATTTCAAAATGCTGTCATTACCAAAGAATGCCTGAAAACTTCATATTTGTTTGAGAGCAAATATGTATCAAAGACATACTTTAAAAATATTCTTTTCGGCTATGCACTTTTGAGCTAAACTGAATTTCTCTTTCACCAAAACTATTATGACGATTTTTCTAATATTAATAGTAACAAAAAAAATGACTTGGGCAGTTCCACCATCTGAAAACAAGCTGGTGTGTAAGTATACGCACATCAGACCTTGAAAAAGCTTACAGTGTGGAAAAGGATGGTGAGAGGAGAGTTTGAGCTAGAGTTTCCAGTACAGAAAACTAAATCATGAGGTGCAACCAGCTGGAATTCTTTAGTGTAAGTAATGTAAGTGTTCCTATTTTTACTAGTAATATTTGGAGTTTACAAATATGGGTCAAGGTTGTTCTGGGCCTTCTAAGAGCAAAGAAAACAATAGGTACAGAAAGCTGTCAGAGCATCCTAAAGTAGTTTAAATTGGAAGGAATGTCTGGAACTTGTTTGGTCCCGTCTCCTACTTAGAGCAGGGTGAACTTTGATGCTAGATCAGATTGCTCATGAGCAATCCCACCCGCATAGGAAGTGAAGAAGTGTGTGTGGTATTTTGGGTTTTCTGCACCCTCCCTGCAGAATTTTCGCTGCTGCTTGCGTATTGCCTGTTGTCCTTCTCTGAGAAGAGTCTGGCTATCTTCTCTGTACTTCCTTCTCTCCCACGCTATCCCATGGGATTCTGCAAAGCAGTTCCCAGAACAAGCTGAAGTTTGTTATTGTGGGATGCAGAGTTGTAATTCTGCTGTTCATCCTGGTCACCTTAAACTCCTTCATTTCATGCCTGCCCACAGCCTTTGGTTTCACCACCAGCTTTTCTTTATCTGTGAGCACTGTGACCAATAGAGCGTGTTCCTTAATTGGTTCATTGATCACCTGAATCATTGTCTTTTTATTGCATTGTGACTTCTTGTTTTCCCATAGCATCTTACAGTATTTCAGAATAATTCATAATAACTTGGTTTGCCAGAATGTTCTTTTTTTATTGTGGCTGTTCATGTATTTCTGTTGACCTGCAAAAGCACACAGGAGTGTGTATGACCATGAATTCCTCTTATCCATAGAGGCCAACCGAAGCATATGATCTATGTCCTCTAGAAAGGCTTAGACTTTGAAAAGGCTTTTATCATGAGGTGATTGGTTTTCTTTTGCAATGATCTGACTGCTCTGCCATTTGTCTTCCTTGGCAGCTGCAGATGGTGTGTACTTAGGGGTAATTAAGGATCAAAGAATAAGTAATTACAGCGCATTTTAATTGCTTTGGGTTAATTCCCCCATCTGGATGATCAAATCATTTTGACAGATTGGATTAGACCAGGGTGGCTGTCTTTGTTTCTGACTACTTCCCACATGGTGGAGCCACTCAATTACTGTGTTTAAGTCTGTAGTCAAACTACAAAATTTACTGGCATTTAGAAGGTAATCATCTAGGTAATTGAGAATGCATGCGGTAATTGTTTTATGCATAGCCATTTCAGGTTTACAGGGTTTGCCTTTGAATGGGCTTGAAACCAGCGCTTACCAACTGTTATCTTATACCTCTGCCTAACCGTTGTCCAGAAAAACTGCTGTTCATGTGGTGTTACAAATCATACTATATTTCAGTCTGTGCAGCTTTCTCCGTCATGATTCTATATAACTTCTTTGCGTTGAAGTCGATGAAGGATGGCAGTTGCTTTTATCTGTCATCTCTGCCAAGTTTTTGCCAAATATGTTCAGTTTCTATTAGGGTAGAGATTAGTCCAGTTGACGTTTTCGAAGACTGACCAAGGGTTGCCTCCCAGCAAAGGCTTTTTCGGACTGTTTCATGTTGTTTAATAATGTTTAAGTGAGTAGCTGAATTCTGTGAAAATTCCTGGCAAAGTGCAGAGAGATTAAGGCTGATGTCTTTGCTTAACTGACTGACGTGAAATTTTACTTGTGCATTAGATTAGACCAGACATACGAAATTGAATTTGGTTATCTGAATTGTATAAACAAATAGTTCTGTTAAAGGAGATTCATTCAGATAACCTTTTTTTCCATGCTTCACTATCACCAAGTGTGAAAGCACAAGCTAATAACAGATGAAACTGAGACCAAGCTACACGTACCGAAAGGGCTGCATGCACAGGTTCTGTAGTATATGCAACTCTTAATTTCTGAAGTAGAACTTCATGTTCTAGTAGCCTACTCTAGAATGAAAAATGGATACTTCTGGCTGCCTGTGGAAATAAAGCCACTAAAAATTGTGGAGGGGTATTTAGAACACTCTTTTTTTTTTAAAAAAAAAAAAAAAAGATCCGATTATGATTTCTATTAAGTGAGCATCACAACGAATTTTTTAATGACTCTCTGCTCTTTGTAGGCATACTTCCTGAGAAGAAAGTAGTGGGTGCTTCTTTTAAAGATTTAACTCCAAGGTAAACCTTTGTCTTTCATTGTCTGTTGAACACTCTATTTAATAATTCTGTGTGGTTCTTAGTAAATGCGGACAACTTCTTCCATGGTTAGTTCTTCACGTTTCAGCTAAATCATTTATATCATTGCCGTCCTTTTATAACCAGGAAAGTTGGGGTTTAGGTTTAAACAACTTGCCAAAGGTATACGCAGATGATGATGCAAGGTTCTTGGCTTGCTCTGTTGGTTTCTAGCGCTTGCACTGCCTTGAATTGTATATAAATGTATGGCTTATATTTGCAGGCTCCTCAGCCTTGCTTCTTGAGAAAACTCCTGGAAAATTATTCCAACTGGACCAATTACTTTTTTGACTTTAGTTAATTTGTCCATAAACATATGAGTTCTCATGCCTTGGAAAAGTACTTAATTTCAAGCTGGAATATATTAAGATGTGATAGCTATATTCAAATTTCTACATTATGCAAAGCAAAGCAGGCCCTAAACCCCCCCTGTGATGTGCCTGCTGTTGCCACTGAGGTACCATTTTACTCTGTGATGCCTTGACTCACCAAGGTTCAGTTTCTCACTTTGCATTAAAATCTCCTGTGAATGTGTAATCTCTAGGCTAGTTACGTGCAGTCATATAAAATATTGTGGTTTGTGAACAACTGGAATGTGACTCATCTTCTGGAGTGCTCCACAAAACTTGCTGCCTTTCTTCCCACGTGTGTCTGGTGTGTTCTGGTGTGTGAGTGGAAGGTGTGCAGCCTTGAACTTGTTGGCTGTCAGGAGTGTCTGCTGGAGGGGGCATCCTCCCTATCTGCCGCCTTTTCTGGTCAAGGAGTTCAAAGAGTAGTTGGAAATGGTTAGGACATTGGGGAAGGGAGAAAACAGTAGCAATGTAGATGCGAGGGGTTAACTTTGTAGGGACAGAGTTAACTTTCACTGGCTAGGATTGCAACCCAGCTAGCAGTGAAATGAGAACATAGATGACTGTGGTGGAGAGCCAGGCATAAGATGGTCAGGTGTACGGTCCCCATGAAAACAGGTAGAGAAAGTAATAGCTGTTATGGGGTTGGACGGCTAAGTTTCTTCTTGGCAAGTGTAAGGCCGTGCAAACAATAAGCATTTGAAGGCTTTCTATTTCTTACCTTATCCTGGATTTATTATGAGGTTTGAGCAGCTTGGGAACATAGGAATAAAAAAATCTTGTATTGGGAGGATGAAGGGAACTGTGCTTTGTGGTATGTGCGTGAAATCTGTAACTCTCGGAAGCCAACCTGACTATTTCAGTTTTGTCTGGAGTCAAGATTTTAATCCTCTTGTTGGGGAGGTTCATATACTGCAAAGAGGATGCACATGCTTTTTACGTAAAACCAACGCCATATAATTTTAGCTACAATGTGCTTACAATCAGGACGCATAATTAGACTGTTGTTATTTTAATAGTCTTTTCAAAATTATTGGCTCCAGACTTATGTCTTCAAAAAATAGTAAATAATGTATTTGGCTTGTAAATTCATGAAAGAACCTCTGCTTGAAAACTGCTAGTTAAATATCTTTTGGTATGCCCAAAGAAAGTATATATTTTTTTCTTTACTGTATTTTTTGTTTTACAGTTATGACTGGTTTCAAACAGATAGTTTGATTACCCTTGTCATATATACTAAGCAGAAGGTAAGTGTATTTTATGAAAGGGAGAATTACAAGATCCAGTTGTGATCCAGCTTGAATTCTGGGAGAACTTTATTAAAATGGTTCTTTTTCCTTCTCTATGAAAGGATATGAATGCAGAGTTGGTGATAGTTGACTGTGAAGACAAACGATTAAGGGGAGAGATCATTGTGGGTGACCACTCGTATCTTGTGGAAGTTGGTAGGTACTGTAATTTTGCAGTTGAAAGTGCTGAATTTTCATTCTACTTTATTAAAACCCTCTCATCAGACCATATGTATTTTACATATACCAATTAATATTTTATTCCTCTTCCATTAGAGGTGATTACTTTAAAGTAACTTGATGTAAAGGAATTACATTGTTTATCAACTCAGATCTTCATTTGTTTACTATTTACTTAATTTTTTACATGTGGAATAAAGTGTAGTAAGAAATTGATGTAAAAGTTTTGTAAAATTTTTCAAGTGTGTTTCCAATAGTTATTAAAATGCCCTTATTCAAAAAGGGCAAATGGAATGATTTAGATGAGTCATTGTTAAAAGTAATGGGAAAAATTATGCCTTTCTTAATGTTACGTATTAAGCTTGCAGAAGTCATAAGTGAAATTTCAGGGCCAGATAAAGACGCATAGTGTTCTAGGCTCATTAGTTCAATTAGTATTCCTAGCCTTAAACTGTACAATGAGTAGACTGTAATTTTGGTTTTGCTTGAAGTGGAGATTGTCTCTCTTTATTTCAGACTTGGATCATGCAGTTCAAGAAGATATGGCTGGTAAGTTCTGACTCTTGCAGAACTTCTGCATCTCTTCTAATATCAGAATGTGGAACTTCAGTTTATTTTTCTGACTTGTCAGATACTTTACAGTTTTGCTTACAACCAGGTTCTGACACTATCAATTACATCAAACCTTAACATTGAATAAATTGTGGCATTTGGGCCTGTGAAAGTAATAAGTTGATGGTACTCTGATCCCTATTAGAATGACTAAATGTTAAAATAATTAGAAGTTAGTTCTGTTGTGTATTTTTAAACTGTTCTCTCCTTAGACTGGGATTTTCTTGGATTTAATTATTCATTCAAATGGTCTTGAAAAGAAAGGAAGTAGTGAATAGCGGTAGTTACCAATTTCCAGTAAATGAGGACTCTGAATTCATGAGCATTCTTTTTGACCAGATGGTCTGTGAAGCATTTTGCAATGTATTTAGTAAATAAGTGCATTAATTATGCATATTAAGTTAGTGCTTGTTGTTCTAAATGCACTGTAAAACATTATAAAGATATAGCTGGATGTACCTTTAATTTGATATTTTAATTTAACGGATTAATTCCGTGTGTCTTGAGAAATGACTTTTTCTTCTAAAATTTCATCATAATGGAGGAGTAAATGTGGTTTTTTTTTTGGACAAAATGTAACTAAAAGTAACAGTATGAAACCTTTTCTCTTTTAGTACATATTGCTGAAAAAGTTGGGAAAGTAGAGATTATCTTAAAGAAAAAGGATAATGTTCATTGGAAAATGCTGGGACAGCCCTTGGAGAGTCATAATACGTTTATCAAACGCACGGACAGAGGTAAGCAGTTTCATGGCCATGTTACCAACTGTTTTAAGACTTTTTGGCACCTGTTAGTCACATTTGGTTTCTCCCAGGATTTTCTTTTTCTGTATTCATACCTTCATTTCTTTCAGTAATGTTGTTGTTGAAAGCTGCTCAGGAATTCTCCTTGAAAGGGTTCAGCTTAGAGGTGTTTTTTTGCTTTGCTTTGTTGGTTTGTTTTGTCCCGCAGTGGAATTGGAGGCCT